AAATCAGAATGCAGATGTAATATACACAGACTTTGCAAAAGCATTTGACAAATGCGATCATGGCGTAATAGCCCATAAAATACGTGCTAAAGGAATAACTGGGAAAGTGGGGAGATGGATCTTCAACTTCCTAACAAATCGAACACAAAGAGTAGTGGTCAACAGAGTTAAATCGGAGGCTGCCATAGTGAAGAGCTCTGTTCCACAAGGCACAGTACTCGCCCCCATCTTATTCCTTATCCTCATATCAGACATAAACAGAGATATAACACCACAGCACCGTATCATCCTTTGCGGATCATACTAGGATCTGCATGAGGCTGTCATCTGCTGAGGACGCGGTTAATCTCCAAGAAGATATAAACAAAGTTTTCCAATGGGCAAAGGTAAACAATATGATGTTCAATGAGGACAAATTCCAACTACTCCGTTATGGAAAACTGGAGGAGATAATAACTAGAACAGAGTATACTACTGACTCCGGCCATACAATAGAGCGGAAAACTAATGTAAGGGACCTGGGAGTAGTAATATCTGAGGATCTCACTTTCAAGGATCACAACAGTGCCACGATCGCACGTGCAAAGAAAATGATAGGATGGATAATGAGAACTTTCAAACGAGAGATGCCAAGCCCATGATGATCCTTTTCAAATCACTTGTTCTCTCTAGGCTGGAATACTGCTGTACATTAACATCTCCATTCAAAGCAGGTGAAATCGCAGATCTAGAGAGTGTACAGAGATCCTTTACTGCACGTATAAGTTCTGTCAAGCACCTTAACTACTGGGAACGCTTGGAAGCACTTGACTTGTACTCGTTGGAACGCAGGAGGGAGAGATATATCATAATCTACACTTGGAAAATCTTGGAAGGAATGGTCCCAAATCTGCACACAGAAATCACTCCCTACGAAAGTAAAAGACTGGGCAGGCGATGCAAAATGCCCCCAATAAAAAGTAGGGGCGCCATTGGTACACTAAGGGAAAACACCATAAGTGTCCGGGGCCCAAAACTGTTTAACAGCCTCCCATCAAGCATTAGGGGAATTGCCAATAAACCCCTGGCTGCCTTCAAGAGAGAGCTGGACAGATACCAAAAGTCAGTGCCGGATCAGCCGGGCTGTGGCTCGTACGTTGGACTGCGTGCGGTCAGCAGTAACAGCCTAGTTGATCAGGCCCTGATCCATCGGGAGGCCTGGTCATGGACCGGGCCACGGGGGCGTTGATCCCCGGAATAACCTCCAGGTAACCACCACACTACTGCAACCACCACTACTACTAGTACCACCACACCACCACTACTACTACCACCACATCACTACTACCACCACCACCACACTACTACTACCACCACCACACCACCACCACTACCATTATCACCACCACCATTATCAGCAGCACCACTCCATGTAGGAAGCGTCACCTCAGTATTATCTCAGATTCCAGGTATCGATTTCACTAACTGATGCTTCAGTCTGACAGACGGCGAGATTACAAGTGAGGTGTCGTTCAGTGGTTGAGCGGCCGACTCGCAACCAGCGGTACCTGTATTCGATACCCAGGCTAGGCGAAACATATGGGATAGTCTCCTTACACTTGCTGTATCTGTTGACCCAGCAGTAAATTGGTACCTGTTGTGGGGAGTACCTGAAGTCATCTGTTGAGAACGTGGGCGAGAAAAATGCAAGGTAACCCACACCTCCGGTGAAAAGCACGAAAGAAGGGTTGAGTACACTGAGGGGGAACTCGAAAAATGTGAAGGAACCACGACTCTTAAACACATAAGGGAGATTTCCAACAGACCTCTGGCTGTCATCCAGAGGGAACTCTACAGATTTTTTTCAAATCGGTTCCTGATCAGCCGAGCTGTGGTGCTTTCGCTAGGCTGCGGGGGTCCGGCAAAACAGTCTTGAGCGATCAGGCCAGCAACTAGGAGGACTGATCTGGGACCGGGACGCTAAGCCGGTGACCTCCAGAAGCGACCACAGGTAACCAGCAGGCGACATCCTGGGGAAATGGTAGCATACCTTAGAAAGGGTTGAGCTGTGGAATGATCCAGCTTTTACCCTCCAAACCGAACTACGTAAAATATATTTTTTGTAAACATGTCAACATCTCTGAGTGCTAAGAATGGTCTTTCGCTCATTTAATCTCCATCCAAAAAAAAAAAAAAAAAATAGGAATTTATGTATAACACAGAACGTGGAAACAAAAGCTTGGTAATATAAACGGTATGGAAGAACTACCACGAAAGGATCCAGGTAGGTTTGTTTGTGCGAATGATCAACGCTATTTGCACTTGGAGTTTGAACAAAAGAATTCGTGGACGAGACGATCTAATCAGAGAGCTCAAGCGAAGGAGATCGGTAAATCCCGGCACGGACGAGGTATTTCCAGGCATGGACGAGATATGTACCGGCAAAGGCGAGGCATGTCCAGGCACGGACGAGGTATTTCCAGGCACGGACGAGGTATTTCCAGGCACGGACAAGGTATTTCCAGCACGCACGGGGTAATTCCAGGTAATCCGAATGATGGTAATTTAAACTGTCGTGTTAAAACCAAAATGTCTTATTAAAAGGCTTCAGAAAGCCTCGTTAATGCCAGGTCAATACTCAGGCTGCAGACGACACACCAGCAGTCACCTTAGTTAATTCTCTTTACACCTGCATGATCCGTTGCCTCGAGCCTAGCCACCAACCACCGAGCTTTGTTTCGTGAGTTTGAAGTGTAAGTTGTTTAATTTAATTCATTATCGGGAAAGGGAGGGTAGGTTTTAGCATGTTGCATCTCCTAGTATTTACCCTGGTGGTGTGTTGTGTGTGTGTTAGTTTACATGCTGCTTTGTGTGGTGTTTTGTGTGTCGTTTTTGTGTCTCGTGTGTCTGATGTTTGTATATGCTCTTTTATTGCTGGTTATCCATCACGTCACTTCTGTCAGAATGCTGCCATCACCCACGTAATGCATATATGAACTCAAAGTCGTCATGAATGACTGTAGATTAATAAACAGAAAAGTGGATGGGAGACTCGAACCGTGATCCCGATATTAACATGTCCAGCTGGACCTGTTAATATCGGGATCGCCTGTGTTTATTCATCTACACATACACTGGCGATGTTGGGAATCTTACACAAACACCTTCGTTATACACTTGACATTATAGCTACTTACAATGGGTGAGCTTAAACCCATAATCTGCAATTATAGGCAAGGAAATGAGCACATACATTTCATGGAAGTTTACTATCAAGAGTAATTTAAAGGTTTCTTTGCTGACAGCCGAAGGTACCACCATCTGTAGGCTCGTAACTATTCGTTTCCAGGAAAGTTGTCATAGCTGTTGCAGTTCCATTGACGGTCATGAAAATTTTGTGGGAACTTCTCTGGCACTAACGTGTACTTCTAATCCAAGTCGCAGAATGGGTGGGGATCGAACCCATGGCAACGATTTCTGAAACTCGCAAGCCAGCGTGCTATTCACTAGTCAGTGGAAAGCACGGTGACCTGCGAGTTTTAGGAGTCGCTTCTCGTGGATTCGAGCCCCATCCGTTCTGTGTTTTGTTTGTAGTCGTTTTACTACTTGGCGAGTAATTTTAGCATTCAGTACTTCTGCTTTCACTAACTCGTAGTCCCGGTATTCTTGAGACTTGGTGGATGTCCTCTTCTTTACCACTTAACTGGGTGGGCAACAATGCTACCCACTGTTCTATCGCTCAGCTCAGCGCAGCTGCCTGGTTTCCGAAGTCATCAAAATATTTGCCCAAGTCAGCCTGGCTGAACTCGAGCACAACTGCCTCTGCACTTCTGACGTTAAACCTAGTTGGCAGGACATTTACATTATTATTAACCATACTTCTCTCGTGTCTGACCTCCCGCTGCTGCTCACGAGCCAAGCTTCTCTCTCTTGCTAAACGCTAACTCTGCTGCTTTACCAGCTCCATTGCCCCAGCATTGTATCGAGGAAGAATTTGGAATGACTGCGATGGTTTCTCGTGCTCTTGATTACAGCATTCTTCCTCAGGAAGTTCTGTATCTCTCTCCTGCTAGTAACAGGATGCTTCCCGCGACCATCAGCATTGCACCTAAGCTGCTTATAAGGCAAGTCCCCGGTTCCATCACACTCTTCACTGTGTGAGAAGCTGTAGGAGGAGGACGGATTACCACACCCACGATCACACTGCGCCCTTGATCATAACGTGAAGATAACTTGCAGAGAATGTTGGAGATCATACGACACACCTACAATCATTATATTCTCCTCAGCATATAACTAAGACTTCGTCAATATTTGTACCTGGAATGTTTCAGCTCCTGCATAGTATACCCAAATGTCCAGCAAGTTTCCAGCATAAGAGTTAAAGTTGTTTTAACGTGGGTCATCTAAGGAGCATGCTAGGTGTTTACACACCATAATTTACGTCGGTAAATTGTTTACAAATAGGGTTAAATCGAAAAAAATAACCTCGAATAATTTACATTACTATACTATTACTACCACTACTGTTACTACTGCCAATACTATTACTACTAATAATACATCTGTTTGGATTCCCTCGAGATGAGTATTGTAGCTGCGCCTTTCTGTGTGTATAATCTTGCTATGATAAAAAAAAAAAACGTACGCACGCAATGAAATTACTGATGACAATACTGGAACTCTGTTCATTGTATTTACGAGTGCTTCCATCGTGTCTATAGTTTATCCCATTTCTCTACAACTTTTCTACGTTTAAAAGACATGAAACGTCACACGTAATGATCATTTTTTTCCATTTGAAAACCTGGAATTTTAATACCGAAAAGTTGTGCTTAAGGACTTGTAAGCAAATACTTGTTATTTTTTTATGATATTTTGGAGTAAACAAGTTTCCAGGAAAGAAACACATCCATAATAATAAAATCTACGTGTCTTTTAGACATACATGTCACAATCGTCTTACAGAACTACATCAAACCAAAATTACAGTCTGTCGAAGAGGAGAATAATAATCCCAGGTACAGTTATCTTTATTTTCACACTTGTATTACACACTTATATTTGAGACATACATACTTCTGCCATAACTTTATTTACACATTAAAAAATTATGTACATAAGTCTCCTCATACACTTTCAATGATACATGATACTTGGAAGGTATTACCTGTGATATGTATGACATGTGTAATACTCTTCACGGGAGTGAATACTGTAGGAAAGTAGTTGAACTCTTGTTGGGGAACTCGTGTAAATGTCAGGAAACATGTGTAGGTGTTAGGAAACATGTGTAGTTGTCAGGAAACATGTGTGTCAGGAAACATGTGTATGTGTCAGGAAACATGTGTGTCAGGAAACATGTGTAGGTGTCAGGAAACATGTGTAGGTGTCAGGGAACACGTGTAGTTGTCAGGAAACGGGTTTCATTGTTAGAAAACACGTGTAATTGTCAGGAAACAGGTTTCATTGTTAGAAAACACGTGTAACTGTCAAGAAACAGGTTTCATCGTCAGAAAACACGTGTAATCATCAGAAAACAGGTTTCATCGTCAGAAAACACGTGTAATCATCAGAAAACAGGTTTCATCGTCAGAAAACACGTGTAATTATCAGGAAACAAGTTTCAGAGTCAGGGAACACGTGGCAGTGTGCAGGTGGCATCACCAAACCAGCTGTATTTCGCAACCTCGCCCAGTCGAGTGTCACAACTCTTTCACGAATGTTAGGTGAAATTGAGAGAAAAAAAAATTTACGGAAAAAAAAAATGTGAATTCCAAATATGAAACTCATAGACGGAACGAATGAATTAAAAATTTTTGTGACAGTCTGATCAGTTTCTTTTTTAAATATCATTTTCTTTCTTCCAGTAAATGAATTTGAGGTTAATTTTAAGGGATTGAAGTTTTTTTTAATCCTGTAAATTATTTACTGAATTAATGACCTGTTTTAGAAAGAACAAAAAGGCACACGTGACTGGAACAATACACATAACTCGCACATAGGAGAGAGAAGCTTATGACGACGTTTCGGTCCGACTTGGACCATTCACAAGTCACACTGAATGGCCAATGTCGGACCGAAACGTCGTTATAAGCTTTTCTTTCTCCTATGTGCGGGTTATTTGTGGATTTGTTTTATACTGTATAGTAGATTATGGTAATTATAAGTGGTGAAAATTAGAATAATTTACTGTCTTCAGAATTTTTTTTTTCCTGTGTCGCTTTGTGCTGTTTGAGGATGAACTGTGTGGGTCCTGAAGGAACTTACTGATTGTAAACAATACATACACATGAATGAGACATGTGCAGCACTGGTACACATGTGCAACATTCTGGTACACGTGTGTAACACTGGCACACATGTGCATCAATCTGGTATCTCTGTCTTTAATTCGGCAGGGCAGTGTATAACACTATGTACTGCAGGACACTGTGCAACACTGCATGTACTGCAGGGCAGTGTACAACACTGCATGTACTGCAGGACACTGTGCAACAATGAATGTACTGCAGGGCAGTGTACAACACTGAATGTACTACAGGACACTGCATGTACTGCAGGACACTGTACAACAGTGCAGCGTACAGTCGTGGTCCTGTGATACATCTTTACATCTCACAGGGTTGAATCCTCCGACACTGTTCGAAGTGGCATTTAGTTATGATTTGTAAAAAAGAAAAACTCCGTAACTTAGAGTCGTGATGTGTTGAATTCAGTTGGGTTTTATCCTGAAGGATCAGTTGAAAATACACTTGGGGGTCCTGTAAGGGATGTGGGCGGGTCCTAGTGGGTCAGGCTGGACATCTGACACCAGGATTGGTTGGCCCTCACGATGGTCTCTAAGTGGTCTGTGGTCCTTTTTTATGGGCCACGACTCTGCGGGAAGAAGTTTGAGAAGTCAAGACTATTTAGTACGTAAATCTGAAAGATGGTAATAGTGTAAATTTGTTAATCTCCGTTTCTCTGTTTTTTCTCTCTCTTTTTATATATATATATTTATATATATATATATATATATATATATATATATTATATATATATATATATATATATATATATATATTATATATATATATCATGTGGAGAAATTTTCCCCAGGAGGGGAGGTATCGGTCCCCTTCAGCCCTGAGGGACGACCCTCTCAGGAAGGGCAGATGTCATCTAGCTTCTGATCAACAAGTTTAATTTGTAACACATGTTTGTACCCGGGCGCCAAGCAAGACACGTCACGGCTGACCAATGTTACAACTATTGTGGGTTAATGAGAAGCAATTTATCTCTTAACGTAGCAGGACAATTAAGGAAACCCTGCACCCACTTTATTACCATGTTGAAGATAGCATAAATTGTCGTCTATGCACAGACAACAACAAGTCAAGCATCCTGCATTGCTTCCTGTAGCAGTTTGGCAAGAAAGGGAAAACTGCTGGAATCAGCATATCTTTTGTGTAACTGGAGATGCCGAGGGCAGCTGCGGCTGAAGCAAGAGGCCATCAGAGTGCGTGAAAACCTGGTACGAGGAGCGTTAGTAACACGTGCATTAACCTTAACAAAGGAACTGTAATGCGTTCTCGACCTCTCAATCTCCATTCACGGTAGAAAAGAGAAGTGTGTGCAGCTTCTTGTAGTGACATTACTGTGAACAAAGGGCAAGACTGAAAGACAGTATGATGCAGTGTTGCGAACATTCGCCAAACAGTGCACCGTAAGACAAATTCTTCAATCAAGACAGTGGATATTCAGATGACATTTAAGGGTCCGATACAAATACTCAGGTAAGTCTGCTTAGACATAGTTTAGTTCAATTGACTGTACAGTTGGGAGCTAAAGTATGGCTAGTCAGATTTATCATACATCCAGTTACCCGAGAGCCATCGAGCCCAAACATGTAAGTGCATTCGTCAGTATTCAGTTATTGAATGATATACTAGCAATGCTCCTGAAGGGCAATTATTCTCATGCTTACATTTCACTCAACAGCTCCAGGGTGGCAGAACAACTGTTTCACATTGGAGGAGTCTACCAGCTGAAGTTGCGAATAGGCTGAGACAGTGACAAAGCTGAGTAACCTTGTTTCCAGTACAGCTGCATAGCTTGTGTTGATGTTCTATATAAAAATCCCAAAATATCAGTGACAACACTGCGACTAGCCGAGGATTCGAGCCCATGTCGTTGTGGCTCGCCCCATGGTAAGCAAAAATCACACATGACGCTCTAACCCACAAGACCACACAATCCTATAAAAATCATGCACCTAGCAGATCTAGGTGTTTTACCGTGATCCGAGGATATATGGTGGTTTGGGTGCCTCTGAGCTAATTTCATTTTACTTCCCGTTTGGTGTACTAGCCTCCACGAGCAGTAGTTTATATTATTGAAACCACGAATGAGTGGTACTGAATCAATAACAGCACTGCTGCTAGCCGAGGATTCGAACAGAGTTAGCAACCTGCTAACTCTGTATCAGAGTCCACAGTACTTTACCACTGAGCTAGACCGAAGATAAATATGGGCGTTTAGCCGAAGCTAAGCGATGTTACCCCATACCCCCGGGCACCAGGCTCGTTTTGAAAGTTATATATATAGCAAGGAGCTATAAAGACACTCCTGCGACTGGCGGACACAAGACACACTTCTTACTTGCATACAAGTTACAGTAACCACTGTCTCAACTACTGTCTCGTTAACTCACCACTTCAGACTGAGGAGGACATGCGACTGGGCCACAGCGCTGGGGGCGCCATGGATTGAGTGTCGTCTTGGGTGTTGTCGTCGCCTCCGTAACTGCTGACCACCCTCGCCCGCGAGGTCGTGCTGCTTGACGGCACCCGCTCTACTGCAGGAGAAAGTACAATGGGTCAGTTCTACAGGAGAAAGCACAGTAGATCAGTTCTGCAGGAGAGAGCACAGTAGGTCACATCTAACTTTTTTTTTTTTTTTTTTTTTTGCACTGACCAACGTGGCTTTAGTGCTACGTGAAACACAATTTATCAGTATTTTTTACTGAACTAGCTTAGATGAAATGGCCGATTCACTCTAATAATTACATATTGGAAACAGAAGCTAGTTTTGTTTCCCTGTCATATTCTATCTCACGAGATTGGCTGTATATACATACACAAATATCCCGCACATAGGAGAATGAAACTTATGACGATGCTTCGGTCCTACTTGGACTATTCACTAGTTAATGGTCGTGATTAATGGTCAAAAATTGGACCGAAACGTCGTCGTAAGTTTCTCCTTTGTGCGGGTTATGTACTGTTGCAGTCACGGTATTGTCCACATTCTTTTTATACGTATGCAATCTTTCATCCCGAGCTGTGAGACTTGAGTAAGACAATAAGATAAGATAAGATAAGATTTCGTTCGGATTTTTAACCCCGGAGGGTTAGCCACCCAGGATAACCCAAGAAAGTCAGTGCGTCATCGAGGACTGTCTAACTTATTTCCATTGGGGTCCTTAATCTTGTCCCCCAGGATGCGACCCACACTAGTCGACTAACACCCAGGTACCTATTTGCTGCTAGGTGAACAGGACAATAGGTGTAAGGAAACGTGTCGGAATTTCCACCCGCCGGGAATCGAACCCGGGCCCTCCGTGTGCGAAGCGGGAGCTTTAGCCACCAGACCACCGGGCCACAATGAGGTTATTAAGTGTTTTTCCTGGGATCAACTATGAGAGATGAAACAAGGCTTCACTTCAGAAGAGCTGAAGTTACTGTTACACAGGAATTGCACTATCATAACTGCATGTCTTAGGCAGTAAGTGTTAACAAAATATAAAGACGGAGTTTGAAGACTTTTACATACAGCAGGTGGGAAAGACTTGAAGTTTCTTGGGCCATTTATTTGTATTCCATTACACTTCAATAAATGGCCTAAGAAAGTGCTAGTCCCTCCCACCTGTTACGACGTACAGTACTGAAAATGTTTGATGAGTGAGCACATCGTAGTACATTACTAGGCAGTGATTCAATCTTATTACATTTAGCGTGAAACCTAGCTGGGGTTGCCGGCGGACGCTCAACAGGTGACAGGTCATTATTTATCCAAAAAACCATGTTAGAAAACACTTATCCAGTTCTCTGGCGAATTTACCATCATCACTACAGAGGCTGGCGATGTTAGTGTCAAAAGGAAAGAGGGGATGAAAGAGGGATTTAGAAAGGGAATGACAGATAATACACAACCGAAACGTCGTCGTATGTGGGTTATTTGTGTATTGTTCCATTCACAGTATTGTGCCTTTTTGTTCCTGATAGGATGAAGAGGTGTATGTAGGGAGGGAGGTGTATGTAGGGAGGGAGGTGTATGTAGGGAGGGAGGGGTAGAGGAAGAATGAGAAAGAGGGGCTAGAAGAAGAGTGGAAGGGATAAGTAAGTTTATTCAGGTACAGGTACACATACAGTTATATACATTATCATACATAGCAGCGTATGTGTAGATTACCAAGAGTTGCACATGTGTCTAATTTATCACCTTCAGACTTGCAGGATAGTGTTCCATTGCCTCAAGTGTCCGGGGACACTCAGACTGCTTTGAGTGCACAGCCTATCCCTGCAATGTCTGCTAGTTCAAGTAGTAGTTTCTCCACAGGGGATGCCTTGTCAGAAAACGATTACTTGCAACTAGTAATGCCATCTCTTGTTGATGTCACATGCCGTATGCAGAAAGATGTCTCTGTTGCGGCTAGTGCTCTCACTAGAGTGTCTGTTGTTGTTCCTTGTGTTCCAGATGGTGATCCCATCCTAGTTGACAGTAATCAGTGCAATGTAAGAAATTATTTCTTGAGTAACTTTCACATGTTGTTAACATTTGTAAGTGAAGTTTCTTTATAGCTGATACCTCGTGTCACTGTGTGCGACTCAGTTGAATATCAGCATTGTTCACCGTGTTCATTTCTTTTCCCCTGTGCTTGCAGTGAGAGATAGAAGATTCGTTCTCCCTTGCTCATATTGCGTGTTATAGCATTATTTTTTTCAACCGGGGAGAGTCATCCACTCCACCGAGTTTGTTCATTCCTCCAGTAAGAAAGAGCCCATCCCTTGTGTTCTGGTGATTCGATTCCTGCTCCAGGAAGATCTTATTCTGACTGTGAAGCCACCAGCACCCATTAGTGACTTTGTAATGAGCCAAGAATTACTGTATCGAATAGTCAAGTTGAGTACTCCTAGCAGAAGAGTTAGAAACTCCACAGTCACTAGTGAATGTAGCTGTATCTTTTGTAGATACTCGTTCAGATCGCCCATGTAGCTGTATCTTTTGTAGATACTCGTTCAGACTGTCCTCAGTCAAGGCATGTGTTAGCCATTGCAGAGGAATTCGATCCTCCCAGAGATAACCATTCTGCATATGTAAACCTCACCCTCGCAGAATTGGGTTTAAATGTACATAGTCTGTATAACTAGATGTCCGAGATGAAGGAAATTGTCAACTGTTTGTTATTAACTGATCAGTTTTTCAGAAAAAAATTGTTTTCGTGTTCACGCTCCTTCCGTATTCTGAGAATTTGACAGTAATGATCTGAGTGCACCAGATGACTTTGCTGTTAATTTCACCTTGTATATTATATATTATATATATATATATATATATAATATATATATATATATATTATATAATATATATTTATTTATTCTTCCTCAGAATCCGTAGAGTGCATGAACACAGATCGATCGATCAATTCCATCCCATAATGTACAATGATTTGTTCTTATAGTTTGTAATGCATTACGTTAAAACTCATTATGTTAAAAGTGATTACGTTAACACCCATTACGTAAAACTCATGATGTTAACATCCATTATGATATCATCCATTAGTTCTAAGTTATATATGATTTGTTATTGTATAGAATCAGCCCAGAGCCACCTGCCTGTTCAGCCTATAGCATAGTAGTGTATGTCGAGACGACATACGTAACATGACCGAGCTGTCAGCATAGTTGCTGATCCTCCCTTACATGTGTTGTATGCATAGATTAGCCGAGTATTATAGTACCATCCATGTGCTTTATATAGAAGATCCCTTGAGGCCTAGTGACTGTGTGACGTCACGGGATGCTCCATGAGTGAGTGGGACAGGCTACCTCAGCCTCAGTCGATGCATAGGCATAGAAGAAGGCAGAACACGGCAGGCTAGGCTCCATCTCCCATTACCACAGTCTGACAATATAGCGTTACCATCCAACAAGTGAGTTTACCTCATCCATCAATCTCCTACCGAACCCCATATGACATTGCCAGAGGCGCGCTTACACTAGTCATAAAACTGCAAAATTAACACCCCTCCTTCAGAGTGCAGACATTGTACTTCCCATCTCCAGGACTCAAGTCCGGCCACCCGGTATTTTGTATTGCACTGACTTCATACAAATGAAATACAAAATACTCGACTACTACTACAACCACTACTCTTACTATAACCACTATTCTTACTACAACCACTACTACTACAACTACCACCACCACCCACGTGACCTTCCACCTGACTCCTGCCACTGTATATATTTAGTTATTTCAGTATTAGCACTGAAAAGTCACTCGTGGCGAAACGTTTCCTTTAATAAACGTCCTAAACTGTACATAAGTGTATTTTTCCATACAAAATAGATGGCGGCTGAAGACGCACAAGAGTCAAAGTTAGAAAATATATTATTCTACAGGTAATTATGAAAATAAATAAATTGAAGAGGTTAGAGCAAACACTGCACACAGTTTCACGGGTAGGTACAGTTGGGCGCTGTAGGGCGATTATCAGTAAAACTGGTTGAGTGGTAGTTAAGAGGCCAGGGGGTCAAAGGCTATGACTCAACCACCACCAACACAGAATACTCATCCACTGGTGAATACTTCTCCCCCCCCTTTCCCCCCCCCTCTCTCTCTCTCTCTCTCTCTCTCTCTCTCTCTCTCTCTCTCTCTCTCTCTCTCTCTCTCTCTCTCTCTCTCTCTCGTACACATACACATTATTGTAAAGTTTCTTTACATTGACACAAAATATTTTGGTTGGTTTTATTAAGCCACAAAAGGAATATGCAAATTTGTCCTTGTGTTGAGAAAGTGAGAGAGTATCTGTCCGTGTGAGAGTGTGCGAGTGTCTGTGCATTGAAAGAGTGCAAGAGGAGTCTGTCAGTGCGTTGAGAGAGTGCGAATCTGTCCTTGCGTTGAGAGAATGCGAATCTGTCCTTGCGTTGAGAGAATGCGAATCTGTCCTTGCGCTGAGAGAGTGCAAATCTGTCCTTGCGTTGAGAGACAGCATCCAGTTCTTGCCTTTCCCCTGAATGACAGCAAAATGTCAACTGACCTGGGCACGCTAGCGTGAAGACCTTCTTTTGTTTGGCTACCAAACAGGTCACTCAGGACCTGACCAACTAGCTCAGTATCTGGATTTTTGGACACACTAGCAGATGCAACAGAATCCCTTCTAAAAAACATCAGAATATAGGCCTCTCCTTAAACCTTTCGAAATGCAAAGTGGTATCTTCTAGCCAACACACCACTGAGGAAGTCAAGGACGCTGCAGGGAGTTAGTCGTTAATCCCATTATTTGTATTTTTTTCAGTGCCCCAGTACGAGTCAAATCTACGGGCGAGGTTTTGAGAAAGAATGGATGTTAAACAAGGATCAGCGATACTGACGCCCATTATGCCTTCTATTGCTTCACAAGGTACCTATCCTTGTCTAAGCTGGCTGACATTATACGATGCTCTCTATCCTTTGTCAGCCTTAAACTAGGAAAGTGTGACTTCGCTCTAAATTTAACGTTAGAAAAATCTTAACTTTCCCTGGACTAGTCATTGGGAACATGTCACGTTTTGACGGATTACGTGGACCGGGCATATGTACAGCCTCTCAGATTGCTTTGCATGTCTTATTTTCATCCAGTGGATCCAATAAGCTGATGAGGGATATTCTAGCAGACTACATGCACAATCTGGCACCAACGTGTGGAATATTCTTTCAGCACAGACATCAAGAGCAGCTGCAACTTTGGCTAAAAAAAAAAGTCCAGTTGGGACAAACCCCCATCATAGAATAAGCTGCTGCAACTATGTTAGAGAGTGCAATCTCTTCAAGTCAGAGAGAGGGCTCGCCTTTTAGCTGTGAACGACTATCATTCAGGTGATATTCTCCTAGTAGTTCCCACCTCTGCGACTGATACACGTGGTGACCATGGTGTGAACTGTTTCAAGTTCCAAACGTTGGCACATTAGACACAATGAAGTCAACGAGATCTAGGAAGCCTTGCTACAGCCTAGTGCCCAGTCTTCCTGAACATTCCTGCCGGGCGTCCTGATGGGCTCACATATCCCTACATCTAACCATACCCCAGCCGGGATTGAACCCGCGGTCATAGAGTCTCAAAACTCCAACCCGTCGCGTTAGCCACTAGACCAGCTAGCCACAATAAGATTCGTCCAACTAGGTATATTTCTACACCATAGGAAGGTTAGCACAGGCACCACGGTGACCACCACAAATGCAAGTTTTTACAGACGAATCTCCAGCTAGCGTGGCGGTGACGAACTCTAGCTCAAGTCCCTTCACTGCCGTCAACATGACTCACATTTGTGGTCACAGTGGTGCCTGTGCTAACCTTCCTATGGTGTAGAAATATACCTAGTTGGACGAATCTTATTGTGGCTAGCTGGTCTAGTGGCTAACGCGACGGGTTGGAGTTTTGAGACTATGACCGCGGGTTCAATCCCGGCCGGGGTATGGTTTGTTTGCAATCGTGTCATTACGATTTCGTGAGTCATCCCTACATCTACCTTGATCAACACCTACATTTAGTGCTGGTCAGCAGAGTGGTGCTGCTGATCACAGGAAAAAATCACAAGCTCAAGTACAGGGATCTAGCTCACCAATACAGCACCTCAACCCAATAGGATCGGAGACCCTTGGCTCCTTGGAAAAGTATTCCATGGGTTTCCTCAAAGAGCTGGATCCCAGGCTCATCTAAACCACCAGAAACCCGAGGGCTGCCACCTTTCTCTTCTAGCACCAAAGTGTGACGATCCAGAGAGGAAATTCTTGGTGCATCTTGTGTTCCCGACCGATGTCTGAGGAGCTTAAAGGAGCTCCACAACCTAATTAAAAACAATCCACATTGCAATTCTGCTTACGTGTAAATTCCTTAATTTAACTGTCCTCGTTAATGTGCAAACATATTTTCACGCGTCATTTATATACAAGAATTTAAAAATAGTCAAATACTGTAGGGGTGGTAGAGGGGGAAATACTGTAGTTCTGGGGGTTGGGGGGGTGAATTTTTTTCTAAAATAAGTTTATTCCCGTCTCTGAGAGGCCAGTAAATACTGGAGATAATGTGTGTACTCACCTATTTGTGGTTGCAGGGGTCGAGTCACAGCTCCTGGCCCCGCCTCTTCGCTGATTGCTACTAGGTCCTCTCTCTCCCTGCCCCATGAGCTCTATCATACCTCGCCTTAAAACTATGTATGGTTCCCGCCTCCACTACCTCACTTTCTTGACTGAAGAAATACTTCCTAACATCCCTTTGATTCATCTGAGTCTTCAACTTCCAATTGTGACCTCTTGTGTCTGTGTCCTTTGTCTGGAACATCCCGTCTTTGTCCACCTTGTCTATTCTGCGCAGTATTTTATATGTCGTTATCATGTCTCCCCTGACCCTCTTGTCCTCCAGTGTTGTCAGGCCGATTTCCCTCAACCTTTCTTCGTAGGACAATCCCCGTAGCTCTGGGACTAGTCTTGTTGCAAACCTTTGCACTTTCTCTAATTTCTTGACGTGCTTAACTAGGTGTGGATTCCAAACTGGTGCTGCATACTCCAGTATGGGCCTCACGTAAATGGTATACAGAGTCTTAAACGAATCCTTACTGAGGTATCGGAACGCTATCCGTAGGTTTGCAAGGCGCCCGTATGCTGCAGCAGTTATCTGATTGATGTGCGCCTGAGGAGATATGCTCGGTGTTATACTCACCCCCAGATCTTTTTCCTTGAGTGAGGTTTGCAGTCTTTGGCCATCTAAACTATATTGTGTCTGCGGTCTTCTTTGCCCTTCCCCAATCTTCATGACTTTGCATTTGGCAGGGTTAAATTCAAGGAGCCAGTTGCTGGACCAGGCTTGTAGCCTGTCCAGGTCTCTTTGTAGTCCTGCCTGATCCTCATCCGATTTGATTCTTCTCATTACCTTCGCATCATCTGCAAACAAGGATACTTCTGAGTCTATCCCTTCCGTTATGTCGTTCACATATACCAAGAACAGCACAGGTCCTAGGACTGACCCCTGTGGAACCCCGCTTGTCACAGGCGCCCACTCTGACACCTCGTCGCGTACCATGACTCGTTGTTGCCTCCCTGTCAGGTATTCTCTCATCCATTGCAGTGCCTTTACTGTTATGTGTGCCTGATCCTCTAGCTTTTGCAGTAACCTCTTGTGAGGAACTGTGTCGAAGGCCTTCTTGCAGTCCAAAAATATGCAGTCGATCCACCCCTCTCTCTCTTGTCTTACTTCTGTCACCTTGTCATAAAACTCTAGTAGGTTTGTGACACAGGATTTTCCTTCCCTGAAACCGTGCTGGTTGTCAATTATACACTTGTTTCTTTCCAGGTGCTCCACCACTCTCCTCCTGATGATCTTCTCCATGACCTTGCATACTATACACGTTAGTGATACAGGTCTGTAGTTTAGTGCCTCATGTCTGTCTCCCTTTTTAAAAATTGGGACTACATTTGCCATTTTCCATACCTCAGGGAGTTGCCCAGTTTCAAATGATGTGTTGAAGATCTTTGTTAATGGCTCACACAATATCTCTGCTCCCTCTTTAAGGACCCATGGAGAGATGCTGTCTGGTCCCACTGCCTCTGAGGTGTCAAGTTCGGCTAGCAGCTTCTTCACCTCCTCCTTGGTTATATGTACCTCATCCAGCACTTGCTGGTGTGCCCCCCTGTTCTGATTTCCTGGAGTCCTACTGGTTTCCACTGTAAATACCTCTTTAAATCTTGTGTTGAGCTCCTGACATACCTCTCGGTCGTTGCTTGTGAATTCCCCATCACCCTTCCTCAGTCTGATTACCTGGTCCTTGACTGTTGTTTTCCTCCTCATGTGGCTGTACAACAGCTTCGGGTCAGTCTTTACTTTTGATGCTATGTCATTTTCATATTGTCGCTGAGCCTCCATTCTTATCTGTGCATATTCGTTTCTGGCTCTTCGGCTAATCTCTTTATTTTCCTGAGTTCTCTGTCTTCTGTACCTTTTCCATTCTCTAGTACACCTAGTTTTTGCCTCCCTACACCTTTGGGTGAACCAAGGACTCGTTCTGTGTGTGTGTGTGTGTGTGTGTGTGTGTGTGTGTGTGTGTGTGTGTGTGTGTGTGTGTGTGTGTGTGTGTGTGTGTGTGTGTGTGTGCGCGCGCGCGCGCAGGTCCTTACCCGTATGTGGTTGCAGGGGTCGAGTCAAAGCTCCTGATCCCGTCTTTACACTGGTCGCTACTAGGTCCACTCCCAGCTCCAAGAGCCTTATCGTACCTCTTCTTAAAGCTATGTATGGATCTTGCCTCTACTACTTCACAGTGTGTGTGTGTGTACTCGTATGTGGTTGCAGGAGTCGAGTCGTAGGTTCTCCCCCCCCCACACACACAGTTTCACAATCTTTGGGAGTATTTCGAGCTTTATATATATTTTTATTCGGTTATATTTGCTGTCAAATGGACACCAGAATTTCAAGAAATACTGGAGGAAGAGAATGTGGAAACAAGAGACAACAAAAAATAATAGAGGCAGTGGTTAAGGTAGAGAAGGTGGAGGTTAATAAGGAAGTGGAGGAGCAGGTAGTGGTAGAGGTGAGCAGAGATGGGGAACTAAGTGAGAGAAGAGAAAGCAGGCAGAGAAGAGGGTCGGAGTGGAGGTAGAAAAGATGGTGATGAAGGAGGGTGTAGAGTTGTAGGCTGAATAAGGGGGGAGAGAGATTGCTGGCCAACAGATGGCTCCAACTTCATCCTGTTCCACATTTATATGTTTCATAACAATAAAAAGGTTTTTCAATGAGCTAATACAGGTAACAGCTCTTAGCTATCAAATAAAGTTAGAAATCCTAACCCTAATCTTGTAAAACCCTGTGTAAAACAGAGAGAGAGAGAGAGGGAGGAAAGAAAAGGAGGGGGAGAGAGAGGGGGAGTGGGAGGGGAGGGGGATGGAGGGACATAATAAAGAACAGAGTGTCACTCACAGGTGGCAGATATAAGAACATCAGGACCGGCTTGTGGGTCAGACTGTGGGTGGTGGACGGGCGTGGTGGGGGTGGTCTTGGTAGTCGGCGAGGGCGGCCCCACGCCGCCCGCATCCCGCCCACTCTCCGTGGGCCGCAGACACCTGCATCTGCGGAGAGGAAAAAGTTGGAGAGAAAGCTCTAGATTGTTTACGTGTCTTTGTAAGACTGTTAGTGTGCCGTTGTAAAATTGTTTGTGTGTCTTTGTAAGATTGTTTGTGGCACGAAGACTGGCAGCAGCAAGAACATCACACACCTATTAATTAACTGATGTAAATACAGAGAGGTGGTGGACGAATACAAGAATCAATTAGAAAGAGGGAACATTAAATGAAATACTTGAAGACGAAACACTACAACAATATATCTGCTCCTATAGCTACAAATTAATCTCTCTCTCTCTCTAGGCGCAAAAAAAAAAAAACGGACCAGGCCAGGTATCTAACTACAGGTCTGACAATTAACTAACACAGTTTAGGTGTGTATGAAACTTGTGGCATCTGGGCGTACCACATAGATGCCAGCTTCTTACATGATGTGCACATACAGTAGGTGGTAGGTTACGGGTGTGGGCGTATGTTAGGCAGTGAGTTAGAGATGTGGGCGTATGTTAGGTAGTGGGGTTAGAGGTGTGGGCGTATGTCAGGTAGTGGGTTAGAGGTGTGGGCGTATGTCAGGTAGTGGGTTAGAGATGTGGGCGTATGTTAGGTAGTGGGTTAGAGGTGTGGGCGTATGTTAGGTAGTGGGTTAGAGGTGTGGGCGTATGTTAGGTAGGGGGTTAGAGGTGTGGGCGTATGTTAGGTAGTGGGTTAGAGATGTGGGCGTATGTTAGGTAGTGGGGTTAGAAGTGTGGGCGTATGTCAGGTAGTGGGTTAGAGGTGTGGGCGTATGTTAGGTAGTGGGTTAGAGGTGTGGGCGTATGTTAGGTGGTGGGTTAAAGGTGTGGCCGTATGTTAGGTAGTGGGTTAGAGGTGTGGGCGTATGTCAGGTAGTGGGGTTAGAGGTGTGGGTGTATGTCAGGTAGTGGGTTAGAGGTGTGGGCATATGTCAGGTAGTGGGTTAGAGGTGTGGGCGTATGTTAGGTAGTGGGTTAGAGATGTGGGCGTATGTTAGGTAGTGGGTTAGAGGTGTGGGCGTATGTCAGGTAGTGGGTTAGAGGTGTGGGCGTATGTCAGGTAGTGGGTTAGAGGTGTGGGCATATGTTAGGTAGTGGGTTAGAGATGTGGGCGTATGTTAGGTAGTGGGTTAGAGGTGTGGGCGTATGTTAGGTGGTGGGTTAGAGGTGTGGGCGTATGTTAGGTAGTGGGTTAGAGGTGTGGGCATATGTTAGGTAGTGGGTTAGAGGTGTGGGCGTATGTTAGGTAGTGGGTTAGAGGTGTGGGCGTATGTTAGGTAGTGGGTTAGAGGTGTGGGCGTATGTTAGGTAGTGGGTTAGAGTGTGGGCGTACCTGTATGATCGGAGGAGAGTGAGGGAGACGCCCAGTAGGAGCAGACCGACGAAGCCGCCCACCAGACCAATGAACACGCCCACAAGAGGAGACACGCCCACCGACGACACCTCGCCCATCCGCTTCTCGGCCACCTGCGGGTATATACAAGCATGAGTGCGTGTGTGTTGTGTGGTGTGTGTTGTGTGGTGTGTGTTGTGTGGTGTGTGTTGTGTGGTGTGTGTTGTGTGGTGTGTGTTGTGTGGTGTGTGTTGTGTGGTGTGTGTTGTGTGGTGTGTGTTGTGTGGTGTGTGGTTGTGTGGGTGTTGTGTTGTGTGTGTGTGTGTTGTGTGTTGTGGGGTTGTGTATTGTGTGTTGTGTATTGTGTGTTGTGTATTGTGTGTTGTGTATTGTGTATTTTGTATTGTGTATTTGTGTGTTGTTTTATTGTGTGTTGTGTATTGTGTGTTGTGTATTGTGTATTGTGTGTTGTGTATTGTGTGTGTTTGTGTATTGTGTGTTGTGTATTGTGTGTTGTGTATTGTGTGTTGTGTATTTGTGTGTGTTTGTGTGTTGATGTGTTGTGTATTGTGTGTATTGTGTGTTGTGTATTGTGTGTTGTGTATTGTGTGTTGTGTATTGTGTGTTGTGTATTGTGTGTTGTGTATTGTGTGTGTTTGTGTTGTATTGGGTTGTGTTTGTGTATTTGATTGTGTTGTGTATTGTGTGTTGTGTATTGTGTGTGTGTATTGTGTGTTGTGTATTGTTGTGTTGTGTTGTGTGTTGTGTATTGTGTATTGTGTGTTGTGTATTGTGTGTTGTGTATTGTGTGTTGTGTATTGTGTGTTGTGTATTGTGTGTTGTGTTATTGTGTGTATTGTGTGTTGTGTATTGTGTATTGTGTTTTTGGTTGTGTATTGTGTGTTGTGTATTGTGTGTTGTGTATTGTGGTTGTGTATTGTGTAGTTGTGTTTGTGTGTTGTGTATTGTGTGTTGTGTATTGTGTGTTGTGTATTGTGTGTTGTGTATTGTGTGTTGTGTATTGTGTGTTGTGTATTGTGTTTGTTGGTGTTTTTGTGTGTTGTGTATTGTGTGTTGTGTATTGTGGTTGTGTGTTGTATTGTGTGTTGTGTATTGTTGTGTTGTTGTGTATTGTGTGTTGTGTATTGTGTGTTGTGTATTGTGTGTTGTGTATTGTGTGTTGTGGTATTGTGTGTTGTGTATTGTGTGTGTGTATTGTTGTGTTGTGTATTGTGTGTTGTGTATTGTGTGTTGTGTATTGTGTGTTGTGTATTTTGTGTGTTGTGTATTGTGTGTTGTGTATTGTGTGTTGTGTATTGTGTGTTGTGTATGTGTTGTGTGTTGTGTTTGTGTGTTGTGTGTTGTGTATTGTGTGTTGTGTATTGTGTGTTGTGTATTGTGTATTGTGAGTTGTGTATTGTGTGTTGTGTATTGTGTGTTGTGTATTTGTGTGTTGTGTATTGTGTGTTGTGTTTGTGTGTTGTGTATTTGTGTGTTTTTGTGTTGTGTATTTTGTGTGTTGTGTATTGTGTGTTGTGTATTGTGTGTTGTGTGTGTGTTGTGTGTTGTGTATTGTGTGTTGTGTATTGTGTGTTGTGTATTGTTTGTGTTGTGTATTGTGTATTGTGTATGGTGTATTGTGTGTTGTGTGTTGTGTATTGTGTATTGTGTATTTGTGTATTGTGTATTGTGTATTGTGTTTGGTGTATTGTGTGTTGTGTGTTGTGTATTGTGTGTTGTGTTTGTGTGTGTTGTGTATTGTGTGTTGTGTGTATTGTGTATTGTGTATTGTGTATGGTGTATTGTGTGTTGTGTGTTGTGTGTTGTGTGTTGTGTGTTGTGTATTGTGTGTTGTGTATTGTGTATTGTGTATTGTGTATGGTGTATTGTGTATTGTGTATGGTGTATTGTGTGTTGTGTATTGTGTATTGTGTGTTGTGTATTGTGTGTTGTGTATTGTGTATGGTGTATTGTGTGTTGTGTATTGTGTATTGTGTGTTGTGTATTGTGTGTTGTGTATTGTGTATTGTGTATGGTGTATTGTGTGTTGTGTGTTGTGTATTGTGTATTGTGTATTGTGTATGGTGTATTGTGTGTTGTGTGTTGTGTGTTGTGTATTGTGTATGGTGTATTGTGTGTTGTGTATTGTGTATTGTGTGTTGTGTATTGTGTATGGTGTATTGTGTGTTGTGTATTGTGTATTGTGTGTTGTGTATTGTGTGTTGTGTATTGTGTATTGTGTATGGTGTATTGTGTGTTGTGTGTTGTGTATTGTGTATTGTGTATGGTGTATTGTGTGTTGTGTGTTGTGTGTTGTGTATTGTGTATTGTGTATTGTGTATTGTGTATGGTGTATTGTGTGTTGTGTGTTGTGTGTTGTGTATTGTGTGTTGTGTATGGTGTATTGTGTGTTTTTGTGTTGTGCATTTTTGTGTTGTGTGTTTTATATGTTAGGGGAAATAGGATCAAGTACATTGATAAAAAAAAGGGGCACAATACCGTAACTGGAACGATATACAAATCATCAGCACACAGAAGAGAGGAACTTACGACGACGTTGCGGTCCGACTTGAGCCATTTACAAAGTCACACTTTGTAAACGGTCCAAGTCGGACCGAAACGTCGTCATAAGTTCCTCTCTCCTATGTGCTGGTTATTTGTTTATCAGGTATATTGTATGTGTGGTATATCTGAGGTGAGATATAAGGAATGGACGAATGAAAAGAGGCAGTAGAGAGAATAATGGAATGGAGGGTAGGTTTAGTGAGAGAGAGAGAGAGAGAGAGAGAGAGAGAGAGAGAGAGAGAGGAGAGAGAGAGAGAGAGAGAGAGAGAGAGAGAGCTATGTGAATTAGCTCACATAGATTACCTTTATATTTTCTTAAGGTTTCTTATGTGTATCATCATTTTCTCCACATCACCTTCATGTGCCTCCTCAACACATTTCCTGTTCCTCTTTCACGTTGGTATTCTCACCTTCTCTCTCTCCCATCATTCGTGTCTCTTCCCCCTCCCTCTCTCTCTCTCTCCCAATCTGAATATAATGTAACAAGCTGATTGACACTACTTGTGTAATAATTCATAATGGGTGACGCTGGTTCACCTGGTTCACCCACCACAGGTGACGCTTGTTCACCTGGTTCACCCACCACAGGTGACGCTGGTTCACCTGGTCCACCCACCACAGGTGACGCTGGTTCACCTGGTCCACCCACCACAGGTGACGCTGGTTCACCTGGTCCACCCACCACAGGTGACGCTGGTTCACCTGGTCCACCCACCGTAATATATAAACCGCCGTAATCATCGCTTCTGCGTCGACAAACAGCTGATGAACCAGACTTCATCCTAATTATCAATAATTAACCCACATAATTAACCCCACGTAGCCATGTCAAAGACTCGACTCCATTTTCTTCCCTGTGAAGTTTAATTAACCTAGATAATATATATATATATATATATATTATATATATATATATATATATATATATATATATATATATATATATATATATATATGTCGTGCTGAATAGGTAAAACTGGTCAATTAGCAGAAAGTAACTTAAAATTACGTCCTTTATTAAGATTTTCTCTTATGCGTTTAAAGATATATTTTTTTCATTTATTTTAATGTAAGAATGGATAATTTTGCACCAAAAGAACCTTAGAAATCTTACCTAAACTAATTATAACAAGCGCAGTTTAATTTAGCCTAATCTAAGTAAATATATATTAGAAGAGAGGAGCTTACGACGACGTTTCGGTCCGACTTGTACCATTTACAAAGTAGTAAGCTCCTCTCTTCTGTGACCGGGATATTTGTGTATCGTTCCAGTCACGGTATTGTTTTTTTTTTTTTTGCTATTACAATAATTTAATAATAAATGCAATGAAATATATTTTTTTTTCGTTAGGTTCAGAATGATTTTTGCGAAATTATTACATACCCAAATTATCGCTTGCCTTATTCGGCAAGAAGAGCACTGCTATTTAAGCCAAAATCGCAAGTTTTATCTATTTGGCACCACACACACACACACACACACACACACACACCCTGCCAAATGCAAAGTCATGAAGACTGGGGAGGGGCAAAGAAGACCACAGAGTATAGGCTAGGTGGACAAAGACTACAGACCTCACTCAGGGAGAAAGACCTTGGGGTGACCATAACACCGAGCACGTCACCGGAGGCGCACATCAACCAAATAACTGCTGCAGCATACAGGCGCCTGGCAAACCTGAGAATAGCATTCCGATACCTTAATAAGGAATCGTTCAAGACACTGTACACTGTGTATGTTAGGCCCATACTGAAGTATGCAGCACCAGTCTGGAACCCACACCTGGTCAAGCGCGTCAAGAAGTTAGAGAAAGTACAAAGGTTTGCAACAAGGCTAGTTCCAGAGCTCAGGGGAATGTCGTACGAGGAAAGGTTGAGGGAAATCGGACTGACGACACTGGAGGACAGAAGGGTCAGGGGAAACATGATAACGACATACAAGATACTGTGGGAATAGACAAGGTGGACAGAGACAGGATGTTCCAGAGAGGGGACACAGAAACAAGGGGTCATAATTGGAAGCTGAAGACTCAGGCGAGTCACAGGGACTTTAGGAAGTATTTCTTCAGTCATAGAGTCATCAGGAAGTGGAATAGCCTAGCAAGTGAAGTAGTGGAGGCAGGAACCATGCATAGTTTTAAGAAGAGGTATGACAAAGCTCAGGAAGCAGAGAGGGAGAGGACCTAGTAGCTATCAGTGAAGAGGCGGGGCCAGGAGCTGAGTATCGACCCCTGCAACCACAATTAGGTGAGTACAATTAGGCGAGTACACACGCACACACATGTTGGACGTGATGCTGGAAAACCTCATGCACGAACATGTTAAGGACACTACCAGAGTGAGAGGGGAGGATGAACCAGCAAGATTGGACCTTGTGTTCACCCTGGGCAATTCAGACATTGAGGACATCACGTATGAGAGTCCCCTAGGAGCTAGCGACCACGTGGTTGTGTGCTTTGAATACACAGTAGAGTTGCAAGTGGAGAGAGTAACAGCAGTTGAATGGGAAAAGCCTGACTGTAAAAGAGGGGACTACATAGGGTTGAGGAACTTCCTGCAGGAGGTTCCATGGGACAGAGAACTGGCAGGAAAGCCAGTAAACGAAATGGAATATGTAACAACAAAATGCAAGGAGGCAGTTTAAAGGTTTATTCCCAAGGGCAACAGAAACAATGGGAAGACCAGAACGAGCCCCTGGTTTACCCGACGGTGTAAGGAGGCAAGAGCAAAGTGCAATAGAGAATGGAAAAAGTACAGAAGGCAGAGAACACACGAAAATAGGGAGATCAGTCGCAGAGCCAGGAACGAGCATGCACAGGTAAGGAGGGAGGCCCAGCGACAGTATGAAAATGACACAGCATCGAAAATCAAGACTGACCCGAAACTGTTGTATAGCCACATCAGGAGGAAGACAACAGTCAAAGACCAGGTGATCAGATTGAGGACAGAAGGTGGAGAACTCACAAGAAATGATCAGGAGGTATGTGAGGAGCTAAAGATGAGATTTAAGGAAGTTTTTACAGTTGAGACAGGAAGGGCTGTGGGAAGACAGCACAAAAGGGAACATCAAGAGGGAATATACCAACAAGTGTTGGATGACATACGAACAACCGAGGAGGAGGTGCAAAAGCTGCTAAGTGACCTTGATACCTCAAAGGCGATGGGACCGGACATCTCCCCATGGGTCCTTAGAGAAGGAGCCGAGATGCTGTGTGTGCCTCTAACCACAATCTTCAATACATCCCTTGAAACTGGGTAACTACCTGAGAAATGGAAGACAGCAAATGTAGTCCCCATATTTAAAAAAGGAAACAGAAATGAGGCACTAAACTACAGACCTGTGTCTCTGACATGTATTGTGTGCAAAGTCATGGAGAAGATTATCAGGAGGAGAGTGGTGGAACACCTGGAACGGAACAAGATTATAAATGAAAACCAGCATGGGTTCATGGAAGGCAAATCCTGTGTCACAAACCTCCTGGAGTTTTATGACAAGGTAACAGAAGTAAGACACAACAGAGAGGGGTGGGTTGATTGCGTTTTCCTAGACTGCAGGAAGGCCTTTCACACAGTTCTCCACAAGAGATTAGTGCAGAAGCTGGAGGATCAGGCGCATATAACAGGCAGGGCACTGCAATGGATCAGGGAATACCTGACAGGGAGGCAGCAACGAGTCATGGTATGTGAAGAGGTATCACAGTGGGCGCCTGTGACGAGCGGGGTCCCACAGGGGTCAGTTCTAGGACCAGTGCTATTTTTGATATATGCGAACGACATGATGGAAGGAATAGTCTCTGAAGTGTCCCGATTCGCAGATGATGTGAAGTTGATGAGAAGAATTAAATCGGATGAGGATGAGGCAGGACTGCAAAGAGACCTTGACAGGCTGGACATGTGGTCCAGAAACTGGCTTCTCGAATTCAGTCCTGCCAAATGCAAAGTCATGAAGATTGGGGAGGGGCAAAGAAGACCGCAGACAGAGTATAGGCTAGGTGGACAAAGACTCCAGATCTCACTCAGGGAGAAAGACCTTGGGGGTGACCATAACACTGAGCACGTCACCGGAGGCACACATCAACCAAATAACTGCTGCAGCATACGGGCGCCTGGCAAACCTGAGAATAGTGTTCTGATACCTGAATAAGGAATCGTTCAAGACACTGTACACTGTGTATGTTAGGCCCATACTGGAGTATGCAGCACCAGTCTGGAACCCACACCTGGTCAAGCACGTCAAGAAGTTAGAGAAAGTACAAAGGTTTGCAACAAGGCTAGTCCCAGAGCTCAGGGGAATGTCGTACGAGGAAAGGTTGAGGGAAATCGGACTGACGACACTGGAGGACAGAAGGGTCAGGGGAAACATGATAACGACATACAAGATACTGTGGGAATAGACAAGGTGGACAGAGACAGGATGTTCCAGAGAGGAGACACAGAAACAAGGGGTCACAACTGGAAGCTGAAGACTCAGACGAGTCACAGGGACGTTAGGAAGTATTTCTTCAGTCATAGAGTCGTCAGGAAGTGGAATAGCCTAGCAAGTGAAGTAGTGGAGGCAGGAACCATACATAGTTTTAAGAAGAGGTATGACAAAGCTCAGGAAGCAGAGGGGGAGAGGACCTAGTAGCGATCAGTGAAGAGGCGGGGCCAGGAGCCGAGTCTCGACCCCTGCAGCCACAATTAGGTGAGCACACACACACACGCACACACACACACATTTATATATGTCTCTTATCCACCTTGAGTCGTATAGCATCAATCTCCTCAGGCTCGCTGGCTCCCTTCTCGTTGATGGCAGTGATGGTGATGAGGTAGTCCTGGCCAGGGGTCAACCCTCCTACCTGGAACCTGGGCACTGCCTCCTCTAGGGTATCGAGCAGAGTGTGAGTGGTAGCGTCATACACCCTGCCCACGAACCACTGGGGCAGCCCGCCGTCGTTCCCTGGGGAACACCGCACCTCCAGTGTACCCCCAGTGTGGTTAACCAGTTGGCAATCCTCGACTCTCTCCGGGGGACCTGGGGAAAGTGAGGAAGGTTAATTTTCCGTTAGGTAAAATTTGGTTCAACAGTGTGGTATTCTACTGTATATGATAGTTGCATTGGGGAAACACCCACAGTGTGCAACAACCCTACTAGGCTAAGATTCGTCAGGTAACAGGAAAGGTGTAGAATTAGGGGAGGATATGATCGAGGTGTATAAACGGAAAACAGGAATAAAGGGGATGTAAATAGCGTGCTGAAAATTTCCGGCCAAGACAGGACTCGCAGCAATGGTTTCAAGTTGGAAAAATTCACATTCAGGAAGGATATAGGAAAGTACTGGTTTGGTAACAGAGTTGTGGATGAGTGGAACAAACTCCCAAGTACAGTTATAGAGGCTAAAACGTGTAGTTTTAAAAATAGATTAGATAAATACATGAGTGGGTGTGAGTTGGACCTGATTAGCTTGTGCTACTAGGTCTGATGCCGTGCTCCTTCCTTAAGTGGAAGTGACCTGACTAGGTGGGTCACTGGGCTAATCCCGGGGGGGGGGGGGACATGGAGCCGCTTCGCATGAGTCAGTAGGCCTGCTGCAGTGTTCCTTCTTTATGTTTTTACAAGTGTTTTCTGAAGCGGATCTTAGTCATATGATGGCCCGCAGTTGGAGCTTCTGGTCATCTGACCGAGGCATTCTACTGGCTTACTAGAAAGCTGTTACATTGTGGGGGGAGCAGAAGCTACCTCTGCTTCCCTGTTATAGTCTCTCAAATAACCTGTACATAGAAGCCTACGACGACGTTTCGGTCCGACTCGGACCATTTAGAGTTACACTAATACAAAAGAGTGAGGGAGCCACTATATATCGGCGAGGGGGAGGGACAGGGACGGGTCCAAAAAGGAAGGAAAAGAAACAGTGGTAAGACTGGTAGAAGAACAGTAGTGGTAGATAGTAATAGTCGCCGTCAGCTTCTCTTTCTTATATACGGGTTATTTGTGTATTGTTCCAATCAAGGTATTGTACCTTTTTGTTCACATTCGCTAGCACAGGTGGTGTTGTGTATACATCAAGTAATAAAATGTCAACTTGAGCTGGGAGATTTTATTAAGGCAATGAGGATATCGTCAACGGCTTCAGCGCTCGCAGACGCTTACAAGGGTTCGTTCTAAACCTTTGAAGCTCACGTAGCTACTCTGAGGGGAGGGGTGGGTGTTCGTGGAAGGTGGGTTGGTGGATGGGTGTGGGGGGGGAGATATGAATAGTGCATAGATAGGAATACATGCTGAGTGGGTTGGGGTTAAGTGTGGGCGTGGTTGTGAGGCGTGGATGGCAATGAATAGGGTTTTGAGACGTGGATGCAATGGGAGGGGTTGAGTCGTGGATGAGAATGGATGTGACTGAGTCGTGGATGAGAATGGATGTAGCCGAGTCGTGGATGAGAATGGATGTGGCTGTGAGTCGTGGATAGGAATTAATGTGGCTGTGAATTGGGATCCAAGAATGGAAGAACTGGAAGGAAACAAGAGCAAATGGAAAATACAGAAAAAGTAAATGAAACTAAAAACGAACCAAGGTGCTGAGAAAGAGAAACAAAGGAGAAAGCTAAAAATAAAATAAAAAAAAAACCGGAGTGATTGGAACCAAGAGAGAGCGGAGGAACATAAAATAAAAAACGTAGAAAGAAGGGAGAGGAGGAGAAGGGGAGGATGGAGTGTTATCAATTTTTACTGTCCTGTCTGAGATGACACGCTGACGAAAACGATAATGGAAAAGACGGAGAAAATATTGACAAAACAGTCATTTTGGGGAGAAAGAATGAGAGTGGAAAAGAATGTGAAGGAGAACGAGAATAAGAGATAATGAGAATAAGAAAGATTTAGATAACTGCATATGGCCTGGCACATCAGAAAAGAATAGGAAGAGAAGACTGAAGAGAGTGAAGAAAAAATAATGAAGAATAGTAGCAAGCATAAAAACTGGATAAAACAATGAAGGCTGTGAATTTTATGTGGCTAAGATTCCAGGCGAGAGAAATTAAAACTGTTAAAATTATCTTGACAGGAGGTATCACGAGGGAGACTAAGACAGAATATTGAAGCTGGGGGTAATATGATTTTTCTTGAGTATTACTGTGATTTTTACAGTGTTTTAACACCCACGGGAGGATTCAGGAATTGTTGATGGTAGCGGCCATGATTGCCTGTACCGAGAGGGAGTGAGTGGTACTGTCTGTACCGAGGATGGAAGGCGCGTGTTACCCTGTACAGAGGTAAGCAGGGTGCATTTATTGCCTGGACCGAGGATGGGGGGATATTCTTGTACGGAGGACTGGGGGTGCATTATTGTTTGTACCCAGAATAGGGGATGGGTGCATTTTTACTTGTACCGAGAATGGGGAGAGTACATTTTCCAGTACCAAGGATGGGGGCTGCATTTGTGCCTGTACCGAGGATTGGGGGCGCATTTGTACCTCTACCGAGCGGGGAGGGGAGATAGCTCCCCGGATTTGCGATTTTCTTTTATGAATTCTTGGGTTTTATGTCAAGAAATGTTGACTTTCTATAGTAGTAATAATTTAATGAATAATAACAATGAATGATGTTTTTTGAAGTGGTTAAGGGGGCCATGGGCCCCCTCTGGGCTCCCCTAAGCACCCCTGGGCCCCCCTGGACCCCCCTAGATCAACCTCTATATATATACATTTAAGATAAACTTGAACATGGTTTTTCTTTCTCCATTTTTCTTCCTCCTCCAGGATGTTGAAGGGCTCTCGATCCGGGGGAATTAGAGCAAACCTTCCTCGGATCAAACCGGGTTGCCATCCATTCCCCAGGTGCTGCATGACCTCAGGGGCCTAGATAAATCGTTCAGAGAACCGGCAGATGATGAATTAAGACACTCGTCCAGCACTTGGGTATCTTTGTTGAAACGTTTCTCCAACCAGTGGCTTCCTCAGTCCAATAAAGAGAAGAATGGTTGAAGATGAGTAGGAGTTTGAGGTAATCAGTCCCTCAGCTGATGGGACTGACAACCTCGAACTACTCGTGATTTTAGCACTCTCATTACTTTAATAATATTTGACCGACCTCTGTTTTATTACTCGATCATGTGATTTTTTTCCCCTTTGAGGATCGGGCAACATATTTTTGGGAAAATCTTTTTTTTTCTGCCGGCGTTAGGTATTTTAAAGGGGCCCCCGTTTCCAATCTACAGGCACATCAGGCACTGCCCACAGAAAGGCAGGGTGAGAACCCAACACCTCAGACTGCAGATACATCCAGACCACACTGAGAGAGCAACCTTTATAAAAACATGATACCGCATGGGAAAGTCTCGGGAGATGGGCAGAGGACTCCATTCTTTTATCCACCACAAAGACCAGACACCAGGCTGTTGGGTTAACTAGTCTGCTAGATGTATACTCAACCAGAAACAGATGGCACAGACCCAGGTCCAAGTAAAGCTCTTCAGACTCGACAGGGAAAATACACAATGATACAAAATGAACCAATTCAGCAGGTACAGCATAGAAGGGGAGGCTGCATACAAGCAGAGCATAGGCTGCCGATCTGTCCCTGTCTCCCCAAAGATACAGTGAGAGAGCCCCTTTAATGCCGGTTTCAGTGATGACCTTGGCTAATTTACTCAAGAATAATTTCGTTCATGCTTCGAGGGTCAGTCATTACTGATGAGGCAGAGTTAGGGTAGCGGTGATGTGCACAGATGAGGATTCACTGCAGTTCTACATGATCTTTGCTGCTCTCGTTCTGATAGCAATTCTAGGTGGATCCCAGTTCACTGTTTACTCGGGTTTCCAATATACTTTGTGGCCCAGAAGATACAGAAGTGGTTATTCTGCATCTGTGCCCAGAGCTCGTTCTGTATTAGTGTTCTGCGTCAAAGTGACAAACGGCCATACCATTGTGTCCTTGAGCCCTATAGACCAAAAACAACAAGCTATACAGAATTCGACAAGACCTGGGTGTTTGGCTTCTTTGAAAAGGAAATATAACTGAGACCCTTCTGTTGCAAAAGCATCAGGCACATGAGTATCACTCTGAGTGCCTTACTTGCACGTGCTCCTGTTCCTCAGCGAGACTTCGGGTAACTGACTGTGGATCAAACTATAGCCGTTTGCCCTACATTTTGACCTTTCCGCTTAAGTCGTGTATTTTATAACCACAGGGTCATCAGAAGGAAATTTTGTAGTCTCTTTTGATATTAACAAATTAATGTTTTTCCTTAGCGGATATGGGTTGTTTAATTTGGGTGTGACTGTTTACGATGCTTATTATTACCTAACTTTACCTTGGGTGTTCTTGTGAATACTTGTTTTTACTGTTTATTCTTAAGAGCGACATCCAAACATCAGTAAAGTCCTGTAATGAAACATAAACAACATCCAGAGGAACTTCCGGAAACACAAATGGCTCTCCATAAGACAAACTGATGCCCAGGAAATATCAAACACGAACACCACCCAAGATTACCACACACACACACTTGGGGAAACCAGAAATACACACGAAACGTTCAATAGTAATGATAAACTTAGCCAAGACAGTAACACTGTCGTCTCTAAGAAGCCATTATGTCAATTTCTCTACTCGCAACACCTAGAAACTAGTATATATATTTCTACGCTACTGCAACCCTTTCAACACCTAAGAGGCTCTAATGGATCCCCTTCTGAACTCCAACACCCGAACCACTAATAAAACACACTGCTGTCTCGCTTTCTCTTGATATGGTAGTGCAAAAACCTCACGAACCCCACTAGCATATTTTAAATATTTTTTTCAACCTCCTCAGCAACCCTACCAGAAACCCTCCCCCCCCAGCAACCCACCGCAACCTTCCCAGCAACCCCTTCAGCACACGCACCAACATCCCTTCCAGCACCCTTTCCATCCTCGTTTCGACCAACCTCTCGGCCAATCTCCCCATTAATTTCCCCACCAACCTTCATAGCCTCCCTAGCAACCTCCCCAGCGACCTCTCCACCAACCTCACCACAAATCACTCCCCAGCAACCTCT